TGAGAATCTGTGGCAAGACTTGAAAATTGCTGTTCACAGACACTCTCCATCCAATCTGACAGAGCTTGAGCTATTTTGCAAAGATGAATGGGCACAAATTTCACTCTTTAGATGTGCAAAGCTGGTAGCGACATCCCAAAAAAGCCTTGCAGCTGTAATTGCAGGGAAAGTTGGTTCTACAAAGTATTGATTCGGGGGGCTGAATACAAATGAACACCACACTTTTCAAATATTTATTTGTACAAAATTTGAAAACCATTTATCATTTTCCTTCCACTTCACAATTATGTGCCACTTTGTGTTGGTCTATCACATAAAATCCTAATAAAATATGTTTACGTTTCTGGTTGTAACATGACAAAATGTGGAAAATTTTAAGGGGTATGAATACTTTTTCAAGGCACTGTAGCGAATGGCAGATAGAAACCACTGAGCACAATGGGGATCTCTGGACCAACGATTTATCATCATTCCAGTGGTGTTTAGGAGAGGTAAGAATTTACTTTCTCAGAAAGCGCTTTGATTTGAACCTCCAATTCAGTGACAGAGACACTTTAACCAAGTTTGATATGTAAGTATTACAAGTAAAAATAAAGCTAGAAAATAAAATAATACTAACAGTTTGAAAGATGACTGATACAGTCAGAAAAATGATTTCAATATTGTCTCTGTATGGGACTTTCAAGACAGTCCTGAAATACATTTTTATTACAGAGTGTTTATTGCAGGCAGAAATGTTAGGGCTTCCATGACTATTTTACTTTAACCACTTGCCCTCCAGAGGATTTACCCCCCTTCCTGACCAGGCCATTATTTGCATTACAGCACTGCATTAATTTAACTGACAATTGCACAGTTGTGCAACGCCGCACCCTGATGACATTTACGTCCTTTTTTCCCATTAATTCAGCTTTCTTTCGGTGTTATTGATCACCTGTGCGTTTTTTTATTTTTTTACGCTATAAGAAAAAAAAACCAACAATTTTGAGAAAAAAACAATATTTTGGACTATTTGCTATTAAACATGTCCAGTAAAAAAAATAAATAAATCTAATTTCATCATAAATGTACACCAAAATGTATTCTGTGACATGTCTTTGCCAAAAAAAATTCCCAATACGTGTAAATTAATTGGTTTATGTGAAAGTTATAGCATTTACAAATGGCGGTTTAGATACTTGGATTTTTTTCTCCCTACTAGTAATGGCGGCGATCAACGACTTTTAGCGGGACTGCGGCGGGCATTCTGACACTAGAGGGGAACTAATTTGGTGTCACTGACATCCCCAGTGACACCAATACAGTGATCAGTGCTAAAAAACAGCACTGACACTGTACTAATGATACTGGGCAGGAAGGGGTTAATGTGAGGGGTGATCAAAGGGTGTGCTGGGAGTGTTTTACTAGGGAGGGGCGGGGGGGGGGTGTGCTTCACTGTAAGCACACTGATGGTGATGGCTGTGCTGTGCTCAGCCATCCTGAGCAGTGTGCCTGAGCTGACAGGGAGGACGTTTGTTTGTAAATAAAACAGTCTTCCTCCCTGTCAGTGAATGGCGGTAATAACCGGGGCGCCGGCGGGTAATCACCGGCTGGGACCCGGTGATTGACATCCACGGTCGTGAATGGCGGCGTGGGTTATTTACCCGGGAATGAAACTCATGTGTATATATACGTAATTTTGCACACCCATGTCGCTGTGTAGCAGTATATCTGCTATACGGCGGGGGGGAAGCAGTTAATTATAATATATGCTCATTCTCTGGTGCCTTTCAGCATATAACTACTTTCCATTACAGTACTTCATGTGTGTTTATACAATATACTGAAAATGAGATTGAGTCAGTGTGTGAAATGCACAGGGAGGGAGGATAGGAGAAAAAATACAATTTATACAAGCACACTATATACAGTATATTGTGTGTATTTGTTATATACTGTATATATATGTGTGTGTGTGTGTACAAAAAAACTGAACAAAAACTTGAATTGTATGTTGTTGACTACTACTTGAATTTATAAATCCTGGCTTTTGCAGCCTTTTGAAGAGCAGGTTACATAGTAGCTCATCTATAAATAAGACTGAACACACATACCAGACTGGGTGCCATAATTCTTTTTCCTACCCCACCGTTGCGTGTGTGCAACATAAGACTGTTTTGTTATCTACTAAACGTGTCACTTCGCCAAGATGTCACAAGGCAGTAAAAACACTGGAAGGGCCCCTGACCTTTAGCGATAGGAAAGGTTACTGTACAGAAAATTGGAAGTCAAAGCAAGGAATGTATCATTGTAAGTGAAGGTAAAAGGAAGATTCTAATCACTTGTAATAACCATGGGGATGTTTACTGATACTGTAGCGGAGTACCCATTGATTCACAATGTTCAGATGCAGGAGCAGGTCCCTTAACTCTTTTCGGATAACTCCCTGGGTTTATGACCTGGTAAGATAAGTTTCCCGGCTTCCCTCCCTCAGCAGCTCAGATAGGCCACAACTGATGAGGCAGAGGTAGCTAGGCAAGTCAACTGCAGCCTGATGAAAGGCCCTCCACTGTCAGAACTGCATGCAGACAGCTGGGCTGGAGCCTAATATCATGCAGCCTCTCCAGAAGATCCACCCACCGTGGGAAGCCCATCACTGATTGCTACTAAAATACTCTGATTCTATTGGAGGGTTGCTTTGTCTTTGGGCCTTGGATCCCTCCAGTTGTTCACCTCCGTTACCAGAGCTACCTTGGACTTCACTGTGAAGGACATAGCATGTGAGGATAATTACAAGTACCTATGTTCTGTAGATGGGACATCGGGGAGTCCACACAATGTTCACCCGGTTCAAAAGACAAGCCATGTGTGTGTGGGTCTTTTCCCAATTGGTTAAGCAAGTATGCTGACACTGGGAGGTCTGTTCAGTGTCAAAGGGTACAGAGGTATGAGCTTCACCTCTGACATGGTACATGTTTGCCTTATGGAATAGGTCCTGTGTAATGCCCACAACTCCAGCTCCTTCTCTTGACTTCCTCTTTTTGCAGGGGTCCCCCAAGCTTCTGTCTATGGAGCCCCGGTCTTCTCCATCTACACCTCCTTTCTTGGCCACTTCATACACACCCACAGCTTCCAATACCATCTCTAAGCTGATCACATTCAATTCTATCTCTCTACTCCCCACCTCACCCCTTCAGTCTCCCTTTCAGGCTCCTCTCGCATTACTAACTTATTAACTGGCATATCAGTATGGATGTCAAACCACTTCCTCAAACCTAATCTTTCTAAATCTGAGCTCATATTTCCTCCCACCCTTGCCCCCCTCCCTTGAGTTCTCCATCAAGATCAATAATACAACTATTAGTTCCTCCCCTTATGCCAGGGTTCTAGGTGTAATCTTTCTTTCCCACATTCATTTACTTTCCAACTCTTGTTCACCTCTATAAAATCTCCAAAATACACCCCTTTTTAACCAATTAAACCACTAAGCAACTCATTTATTCCGATGCTTTCTCCTTGACGATTGCAACTCCCTCTTCATAGGCCTACCTCTATGCAGGCCATCCCTTTCGTCTATCACGATTGCTGCTGGCAGACTCATCCACCTTACTAGCCACTCAGTGTTCACCACCCCTCTCTGTCAATCTCGCCTCTGGCTTATGATTGATCAGTTAATAAAATTCAAAATATTAACAACAACAACAACGTACAAAGCCATTTACAACTCTGACACAAACTACATCACCGATCTTGTCTCAATATATTGTATCACCCAAACCTTTCTCTCTGCTACTCCCAGGACCTCTTGCTCTCTAGTTTCCTTGTCTCCTCCTCCTATGCTCATCTCCAGGACTTCTCCAGAGCCTCTCCCATCCTTTGGTAATCTCTACCCCAATCTATCTGGCTATCTCCTATTCTGTCCACTTTTAGGCAATACCTGAAAACTCATCTATTCAGGGAAGTAAAGAGCCTATCTCTCCTCTACCTAACAACTTATTTCTCCCATCAGTCCATCCCTCATAGTACCGTTTTTTCGTTCCATAAGACGCACCTGACCATAAGCTGCACCTAGGTTTTAGAGGCGGAAAACAAGAAAAAAAATATTCTGAACCAATGGACTACAGACATAGTACAGGAGATGACCATAGACTGTGGACACAGTACAGGAGATGACCATAGACTGTGGACACAGTACAGGAGATGACCAGAGACTGTGGACACAGTACAGGAGATGACCAGAGACTGTGGACACAGTACAGGAGATGACCAGAGACTGTGGACACAGTACAGGAGATGACCAGAGACTGTGGACACAGTACAGGAGATGACCAGAGACTGTGGACACAGTACAGCAGATGACCAGAGACTGTGGACACAGTACAGCAGATGACCAGAGACTGTGGACACAGTACAGCAGATGACCAGAGACTGTGGACACAGTACAGCAGATGACCAGAGACTGTGGACACAGTACAGCAGATGACCAGAGACTGTGGACACAGTACAGCAGATGACCAGAGACTGTGGACACAGTACAGCAGATGACCAGAGACTGTGGACACAGTACAGCAGATGACCAGAGACTGTGGACACAGTACAGCAGATGACCAGAGACTACGGACACAGTACAGGAGATGACCAGAGACTGCAGACACAGTTCAGGGGATGACCAAGAGACTGCGGACAGTACAGGGGATGACCAAGAGACTGCAGACAGTACAGGGGATGACCAAGAGACTGCGGACAGTGCTGGGGATGACCAAGAGACTACGGACAGTACAGGGGATGACCAAGAGACTACGGACAGTACAGGGGATGACCAGAGAGACTGCGGACAGTGCTGGGGATGACCAGAGACTGCGGACATGGTGCAGGAAATGACCAGAGACTGCGGACAGTGCAAGGGATGACCAGAGACTGCAGACACAGTACAGGGGATGACCAAAAGACTGCGGACAGTACAGGGGATGACCAAGAGACTGCGGACAGTACAGGGGATGACCAAGAGACTGCGGACAGTACAGGGGATGACCAAGAGACTGCGGGACAGGGGATGACCAAGAGACTGCGGACAGTACAGGGGATGACCAAGAGACTGCGGACAGTACAGGGGATGACCAAGAGACTGCGGACAGTGCTGGGGATGACCAAGAGACTACGGACAGTGCTGGGGATGACCAAGAGACTACGGACAGTACAGGGACCAGAGACCAGAGACTGCGGACAGTGCAGGGGAAGACCAGAGACTGCGGACGGTGCAGGGGAAGACCAGAGACTGCGGACGGTGCAGGGAAGACCAGAGAGACTGCAGACGGTACAGAAGATGACCAGAAACTGCAGACGGTACAGAAGATGACCAGAGACTGCAGACGGTACAGAAGATGACCAGAGACTGCAGACAGTACAGGAAATGACCAGAGACTGCAGACGGTACAGAGGATGACCAGAGACTGTGGACAGTACAGGGGATGACTAAGAGACTGCTGACCTTTGGGGAGGGAGGGGGAGCGGGTACCTGAATTTGACAGGTTCCCGCTCCCACTTCCGCAGAGTTGTCCTCCCTTTATTGTGGGCACACGGCTGACAGCCGGGTGCCCAGTGCGCATGCGCGAGAAGCGCTGCACTTTGTGATTGGTCCGGCGTCTTCTGGGACCTGTCATGTGTCCCAGAAGATGCCGTACAATTCACAAAGTGCAGCGCTTCTCGCGCATGCGCACTGCGCACCCGGCTGTCACAGCCGAGAGCCCACACTAAAGAAGCCGGCGCGGGAAGACTGCACAGCGCAGGGCCGAGGAACAGGTAAGGTTCTGCTGCAGAGAAGAGCTGAGCGGCTGGCCCGGTATTCTGACGCGGTGGTGGAAATACCGGACCGACTGGTCCATATTCGCTCCATAAGACGCACTGACATTTTCCCCCCTTTTTTGGGAGGAAAAAAGTGCGTCTTATGGAGCGAAAAATACGGTAATTACCTTTTGTTCCACTTGCTCTCCCTATCAGATTGTAAGGTCTCAGGAGCAGGGCCCTCCTAACCCTCTTGTATTGAATTATATTGTTACTGTACTCCTTTTATCTCCTGTATCTCCTTTTATATTGTAAAGCACTGCACAAACTGTTGGTGCCATATAAATCCTGTATAATAGCAAGTAAACAGTGGTGGAATGATTTCACTCTGTACCCATTTATTTATAATAATTAGTGTTAAAGTGGTTGTGTTTTTCATTTACAACTAAGCATTACCTTTTATATCTATGGATCATTGCCTATTTTGTCTCACTTTAGATATAATGACTCCTTTGCCTGCATTACTCTACATTGTTTTTATTTATATAGGGAATGTAGCGTGATGAAAATAGAGCAATAGAAATATACCATTTGTTCTTTAATGAAAATAAGGGATGTTGCTGATGATAATGTTCAACACTAACACCATCCTTTCAACTATCATTTCAGATGTTGGAATATATATTAAAGCAAATAATTCAGTTGTCCTAAAAACTTGAAACAGATTCCATTATCAAACAAATGTATACTGTTTCTGAAGTGCAAAACAACCATCCCTAATTCATTTCATGCAAAAAGGAAGAGAGATACCAGCCTAGCATACCAAGCATACCAAGCATAACCCTGATATTCTCATAAATGGTGGGCTGTGGGCTTACAGACTCCTTGCCAGTCTATTATTAGTTTGTATGGCCTTCAGTACCAGGTTGCTTCTTCAAGACAGGGCTTCTGCTTCCACTCAAACTTGCCACTAGTAGGTTGTGTTGGAATTGGGGAAGTTTATCTGTTGCCTAGCTAAGGGAGTAAGGTGCCATTCCCCAGTGGCGGATGGTAAAAAGGATCCATCTCACCCTCACCACTAGAATATGATTGAGAATTGTAGAGGTTTTTGTGCAGGTTAGATAGCGGGGTAACTTGCAATTCCCCTGTGGTGTGGTGTAAATGGGGCCCATCACACCCTCATTAATCATACATAATATGGGAATTGGAGATGTTTATGTGAAGCTTCAACAAGAGGATAACTTGCCATTCTTTTTTGGTGAGGTGTTAAATGGATCAATCTCACCCTCACCAGTAGTAGGTGGTATGGGAATTGGGGAGGTTTATGCACAGTTTAAATGAGAAGGTAATGTACCATTCCTCTTTTGTGGGCTGGCTTTAGGATCTATTACCAAGCAAAAATACTCATAGGTGAAAAATATTTAATCTCCAGTTGATTCCAAAATAAAGAATTAAAAAGGTAAATGCAAGGGCCATCTTTTTGTCTTGGGTCTCCTATTAGTTCATTATGGTATTGCATTTGGGAAGTCAGATTTATACAGTGCAGCAACAGAAGTATTCCCAGTACAAAATTCTGGTAGTTACCCAACTGTGGCATCTGAGACATACAGTCCATTTCCCATACTCTAATAGCTATTTTATTTATTCACTCAAAATTGTGAAGGTTACAAAGTACTGTCTGTGATACTTTTTTATTGGCTATAATCGCCTCAAGCATGAAAGGAAACACCAACGTTAATAGTCCTAGTCAATGAATGATGGAATGGATGAAGTAGGTCACTGTATGTTGGAACTGGACTCTGGGATTTTGCCAGAATTCCAGCCTAGTCCAGTCCAGTTACAATAATGAATCTTTGTTAATTTAAAGTGTATTTCCACTTTGGCAGCTGATTTGAAATATTTATCTTTGTTACATGTTCACAAAGCATAACTTAAAAAATATTTTAAAAATGCTTCTTCTTTTTACTTGCTGCAAACTCCCACCTAGCTTTCCCCTTCTATGGAATGTTAAGGAGGGGGTTGGGGAGTTATATTTACCCAGTTTTAACCCTGTCTGTACTGTGTTGGCAGATGTTGTTATCAGTTGTAAACTATTTGTACACACTGTTTGATCTAACAAAGGGTTAAAGATCTAATTGCTTGGGTGGTAAATTGTATGCTAATTTACTTAACAAAGTGCCCCATACTCTGTTCTCTAATTGTACATTGCAATCTTTTATAAATGATACAATCTGCCTATACAGCCCAATGTATACAGTAAGCCTGCTCCAAAACAGAAAAGTAAGAAATATTAAAAATAATATATTTTTAGGTATGCTGTGTGAATGAGGACATTTAACAAACATATAGTGGTGGTTTATTGACTGCAGAGGTGGAAATACACTATAAATTAGCATCTATTTAGATATCATGAGACAGGGAGGACAACAAAAAAAAATATTTAAAAAAAAAATTCTTTATGGAATAAAGTATAGAATGCTTGGTGGGTAGATTTAAAGTGTATAGCTAGTAAACATTTTTGTAACCATAGGTGTTTGATATATTAAGGCGTAACTATGGGCAAAATAAAAAAATACAGATATGATGCAGTCTATCAATAGTTTTTTTTTTTCTTTTAAATTCCCCATAGCAGAGTTTTATCACCTTTGCTGGCAACTTGGCCTGTTAAAGGAAATGGAAAATGATCAGATCTACTGGCCAGGAAAAGGAAATGGAAAACGATCAGATCTACTTGCCAGTAGATCTGATCGTTTTCCATTTCCTTTAACAGGCCAAGTTGCCAGCAAAGGTGGCAGTTACAGGGGACAAGCCATATTATATTGATAGGGTGCTTACAATGGTCAACTTTTATTTATGGTTTAAGTCTACATTTTTCCAAAATAAAAAAAAAGTTAGCTGGAGTAAGCTTTTATTAGTCTCTTGCTTAAACCTTTGTTAAAATGACATGTCTATCTAAGACTACGGTACAGGGTGAAAACACTGCTGCTCTTTCAAGAACTGACAGGCCGAACTCCGCTGTTAATGCCACCTTGTCTAATGCATTCCACCCAAAACTGGCTTAATCGTATTGATTGCTTGAGTAAGCCCACTGTTGGGTGAAATATATTAGGATGAAGCGGCATGAACAGTAGATGAATTGACAGCTGGCAAGTCTTTGCAATAAAGTTTTTACTACCGTGACACATCTGGGGTGCAACCTGTCAGTTTTTGGATGAGTTTGTGTAAAGAGTGGGGACATGCTTAAAGGACTTAAAGGAAAGCATCTGGTTTCAGCTTGGTGGGAAGAATGAGTGCACTTAAGAACAGTGTTTCCTTGGATTGTCTACTAATGTTGATGCTCAGTTTCACTTCAGAGCGAACACCGTCGTTACTGTATTACAGGAAGTGGAAAAATATTAAATCTACTGACAACATAAAAGATAATAAAACAATTTTTAAGGGAAAAACTAACACATTGCATAATATATTTTATTTTTAATTTTGTCCATAATTAGACTTTAACTTCATCTCCTTTTGATTGAATAGGTAAGAATTATTACCATTCTACCAAGGTAGCTGTTTACCTGTTTCTCCTCATTCCTTCACCACCTCCTAGAACCAGTGATGTGAAGTTGCCTATTGTCTGCCAGCTCTGAAATGGACGGAAAGCCTGCATTTTAAGGAAACCTCCTAAAGCACTCATCTAATGTTGACTAGTATACAAGCTTTTTAATGGGGAGTAGGGGACTATGCCCTTTATCATGTAAGACTTGGCAGTACACTGTATCCTTTATAAGTACTGTGCCTTAGGCTAAATAACATAAATTAGGTACCACATCCTATCAAATGTGTATATTGAACAGCAAAAAAAAATAAGTCATGGATTTTCTCAGTACCCCAAAAACTAAAAACAAAGAACATTTAAAAATAGAATTCATTAGAAAAATCTAACATAATTTAAAATCACATTCAAAACCCCCCTTCAGCCATAACATAGTTCCTATTTTGGACCATGTTGGAATCCACTCTAGAGTTGCAGGTGTAAGGGAACATACATACGTCATACCCTCTACATGAGAGGTGTAAAGTGTAAAAAGAAGCACAACATTACTCAAAAATGTACAAAAACAAAACATCAAAATTATATATACAATCAATCCATCAAGAGGTCAGGTTATCAGAGGTGGCCACCGGGCTTATCCGAAACCGGAGGATAACGCCAAGATGGGGAGCCCAAGTTTAGGGGATTCTTCCTGGGGTGGATGTGGGAGCCAATATGGACCAGAGAATGTTTAAAATTACAGCTACGAAGAAACAAGAAGTTTTTGCATATGATTTTAAAATATGGGTTGTGTATCATTTTAGATTTTTTTTAATAAATTCTGATATTTTTAATGTCGTTTGTTTCTAGTCTTTGGGGTACCGAGAAAATCCATAACTCCCTTTTTTGTTGCTCTATATATACACATTGCATGATACTGTTTTACTATTGCCACACATAAAAACCTTTAGCCATATCAACTCAGTAAATTGTACTAATCCAAACGGTGATGAATAACGTGATGTTAGACAGAGGTGTTTAATAATCTTTTTTTTTTTTACGAAGATACTAAATTTCTTTCATACTTTGTGGTACAGTTTATTTCAGTTATTTTTTTTTGGATGCCCAAGAAAAGGTATATGATTATAGGCAATTGAACTATAATTATGTCTAAAAGTCTGGTTAAAGAAAGCAGAGATTTTTCAGCTAAGAGAGTTTTGACTATAAAAGCTTTTTTTGTCTGTACATCTATTCATAACATGTTTTTTTTTTCCCTTTGCATTGTGTGCTCCGAGCTGCAGGAAATATTGCTTTGCAAACTCCTGGCACAGTGTCATGTAGACAAAAGCCGAGCAAAAAAATGCTGAAACTAAATAGCAAGCTACAATGCCGAGCCTCCTCACGGAAGGCACTCCAGACGGATGCTTGTGGGAACACACTGGCAGCACA